CGAGGTGATCCTGAAGAAAGCCGGCGAGGCCGGAGCAGAGGACGGCGTGGTGCTGCTCAGAGGGCTGCCTTACTCCTGCACAGAGGACGACATCGCTCACTTCTTCTCAGGTAGACTCGCTTTTCATTTCATCATTAAAGATTAAAAAAAAAAAGAAAAAAAGAATCCAATAGACATAAAAAAAATATTTAAAAAAGGAGTATTTAAGTTTAAACAAGTTTGATATATTAAAATATGCATACTTTAAAGAATAAAGTGATAATAATCTCTCCATCATGTAGTTTCCTTTTTTATTTTGTATTTTTCCTTAAAGCTTTGCATGTTTGTGATGGCCGCAGCTTGTTTTCTTGTTTCCTTGACTCAGGTTTGAATATAGCTGAAAACGGGATCACCATCCTCAGCAACAACAGGGGGAGAAACTCTGGTCAAGCATATGTGCAGTTTTCCTCTCAGGAAGAAGCCAGTAAAGCTCTGCAGAAAGACAGAGAGCTCATAGGTCACAGGTAAGTCACTGCAGGTCAGGTCTGGTCCAAACCACTAAAATAAATACATCAGTGCTGATTTAAAAACACAAGATACTCCCCTGGGTTCATCATTTTTAGTCAGATGTTATTATTGTCAGTAGAAAATGTATGTTTTAGCCCAGCAGAGACGGGTGACTCGAGGCCTCCATACTGGCTGAGGAACGATTTTGGTATAAAGATGAGAATTTGAGCAATTTGCATAGAAATAATAAAAAAAAATACAAGAATTAACTTTTTTAGTGTTTTTGTCTTTAGACTGCAAACTTCTTATCTTTTATTTTCCATACATTAAAATATTTTTTTTTTGGTGTCTTCTCAAAAGGTTGACATTTCTCTTTGTCTGAAAAGTTACCATAGTTTGATCATTTCCACACATTGAGCATCTGGTGGAGCTCCATTCTCCTGAACATGGAGAGAGGATGGCACAGCTGTTATCATTTATGAAACATTTGCAGGAAAAAAAGGTCAGAAGAAGTCATGTTTACAGTTTGAAAGCCATGTAAAAAAAAAAAAAACACTGTAAACACGTTCTAGTCTGGCGGAACCAAAACCTGCACTTTTTACTCTGCTTCTAAAACTTTGTTAGGGAAAGTTCCCAGTCTAGACCAGATCTTTAGGAAAAAATAAGAGAAAGATGTAAATGTTAAGATAATGATGGAAATATTTTGGAGATTTGATATTATATCTCTTTGTTCTTGTGCAGATATATAGAGGTGTTCCCCAGCAGCATGGACGACATCCAGACCGCCCAGAGGAGGAGGAGGACGACAATGAAGCCGGATCTATCCCAGCCGGCGAGCAGGAGATCAGTTACTGACTCCCAGATGAACCATAGAGCGGGTGAGGAGAATAGCAGGACTTAGTTTTATAGATCTATGCTTGGATCTAATCGGTCTTTATTTGTGGTGCATCAGTTTCCCATCAGATCTCAGATGTGGCAACGCATTACATCCACATGAGAGGACTTCCCTTCCAGGTTTCTGGAGAAGACATCGCGAAGGTGCTGCAAAAATCAACCATTTCAATGTGACATGAAGTGTTGGAGACATCAGAGCCACAGCGTGTCCTTTTGTCCTCCTACAGTTCTTTTCTCCTCTCGCCGTGTCCAAGATCCTGGTGGAGTTTGGACCTGACGGGAGGCCGAGCGGAGAGGCCGACGTCTTCTTCCACTGCCACAGGGACGCAGTGGACGCCATGTCCAAGGATCGTATGAACATGGGTAGGAACCTTATCAGAGACCTTAAAGTGAAAACTAGAAAGAAAAGCGCTGTTTACAATAAACAAATTACATAAGAACTGTTAAATTAATCAAAAATTACGCAGATTCTCCTTAGAGTACTGGGGCTGAAACAATCGGATTAATCAGTTATTGAAATGATCTTCAACTAATTTAGCAATTGATTAATCGTTAACATGCTTTCAGCTGACAGAGCGACCCACTTGGAGCAGTAATTATACCAAGAGTTTAAAAGAAATTTAAATAAATATTTTGCATTTAAGATAAAAAAAAAAAAAAAACATTCTGTCAATATGTTCTATCCAGAACTCCTCAAGTGGAAAAATGTGTTTCCCCTGGTTTGATTTGTAAAAAGGAACCTTTGGCTATCTGATTATTGATTGATTAAAAAAGTAATCAAGAGATTAATTTATTTGCAAAAGAATCGTTGCAATTAGTTGCAGCCCTAAGAAGTACTGTTCCTAAATAAATTTCAGAGATGGTCATTAGGAAGTTTTATGCTTACAGGTAAAATGGCTGCGCCTCCTGGTGGCAGACAAGGGCTCAGTGTCTGCTGCTACGTTCTGGACGGCATACACGTTTTCTTTTTTTCAATCATTGCACGCAGCTACAGCAAACCCTGCGGTTTCGTGGTATAGTTTGAGTTCACAGCTCACGATGTATGTTCTCACACTGCGACCCGACGCTCTGATGCGATCTACCTGCTCACACTACGTCTAAAACCACGTCAGCTCCGCAGTGACCTGACAATGAACGCCCTTCAGGGTGATCGGAGGAAAGGGCATGATGTCTGTGAGGAAGGTGAAACTTAAAGGGTTGGCTTCAGAAGTGGTCCTGGACTCAACTAAAAGGAAGATATTTTACCGGATTTATCCAGAAAATCAGTGAAAATCAGCAAATCAAAAGGCGTTTGACCAGGAGGAATGAAGATAGGTGAGGAACGCTGTTAGAAGGTGATGTCTGGCTGTGAATCGTGCTCACAGCAGGTCAGGAGAGACTTTACTGTGAGTTTCTCTAAGTGGTGGTCACAAGGTGATTTTTTCCAACTGTGGTGTGATCCCTGAAGTATATGGAGGGCCCCAATATCACGGCAAATATACCATTAAAATATAAATAACAAAATCTTTGAATAATTGAAAACACATTTTAAAAATGATGAATACATTTTTATAAATATTTCCCTTTATATTTGTACATAAATATAGAGTGAAATAATTAAATATATTTTTCGGGGTTCGTCAGTTTGTGGCACTTATCTTTAGGTCATCGACTGAAAATCGACTGATAATTTTACTGTTGTGCTGTACGATATTTGATGCCTTAACTTTAAATTCCATTAGTTTTGTTGCATTGATGAAATTATAGAAACATGATAAAGAAATCAGATTTATGGTGTTATTTTTATTTTGAAGATTTGGGGAAAAAAATGAAAGTTCACCTCCCTGCATCAGAGCGCTACCTGTTGGACATGTGTGCAACTAAACTAGCAGCAGTAGTGGAGTTTAGAGACGCAATCCTCTGCTTAAATCTATCTTTTCTGGAATTTATTCAGAAGTTTAGCAATTGCAATTTTTCCTCTCACTCCCTTCTTGGTGGTCGGCCGCATATTTAGCACGCCTTTCATGGAAATGCCTTTCCATGTTACTTTTTATTTTTTGACAAACTCTCATTACAAAGCAAAAATGCAGGCAATCCTTCCGCTTTGGTAATAAAAGGAAATGATTCGGTCCGTTCTTCTTTGAATCCTCCGTTCTCATCAGCTATCTTGCTTTTTTCCCTGGATATCCATGGCCTGAGACACATCTGCTGGTTTGTTTACAAAAGCACCTGCCTGGAACCTGGCTGCAGGCTATGACACAAATCTTCATTCACAGAAATGTTTTCATTTTTTTTTTTTATTATACAATTTTTTTCTTAACAGTATTGGACACCTAATGTTTGTTTGGCCTCCTGCACACCATATTCAACAAACAGAAATCTATTTTCTGTTCATTTTCATACATTTTTGAAAAATCTCCAGGTGTGCATTAAAGAGCCATGGGTTGCCAACCCCTGCCATTGAGGAACCTAATTTTAGTTGAAACTGTTTATTCAAAGGAAAAACAGGTTAAGCCCTTTGGAAACCACAGAACTAATCCTGCAGTTTGCATAAACAAGGGTTAATTTATGTTGTGACTTTTAACAACAAAACCTAATTTTTTTTTCATTGAAACTATGTGCCCCTTAACTCAGCATTTATTTAATGCAACAGAAACACTCGATAATAGATTCCTGATTAAAAGCATGTTTTTAAATTAAAATGATCACTTTATGTAAATATCCTGAAAACAAATTCTAAGGATTTATCTGTAATCGTGGCTAAGTCCCACAAGCTTTAGTCTTTTGATGTTAGTGTTGCAGCCAAGCATCAAAACGGTGTTAAGAGTTTAGAAATCAACCATGTCATCAAAAATCAATGATAAACAATCATGGATTTTTTTATCACCCAATTTTAACTATGGATCATTTTTCGTTTATGGGATTTGAACAAAAAAAAAAAATTCAGGATTTATTGATCACTAAGAACTCTGTTGGTGCCAGAATCATTTATACTTTTATTTTTATTTTCAGGACAAAGATACATCGAGTTGTTCCTGAACTCCATACCAGACTCTGACTGACGGTGAGAAAATGCGATCCAAAGAGGACATCCTCCAGTGTTTTAGTTGTAAATTTTAATCTTTTAAATATTTTTGTAGACCGCTTAATGCAGGACTAAATGCTGCAGCCCATTGGGTGAATTTAAAACTCATAACTGTAGTAATAATAAGGCCTAAATGTTTTCCCTCCTTTGGGAACGGTAGAAAATGTAAATTAACCAACCTCTGGCTAAAATAACAGACTTAACACACGTTTTTGTGTTTTTTAGGTGGACGTCAACATACAAACTCTGAGAATCAAGATGCTCATATTTATTCTTTAAACAATAAAATATGAAACAAACATTCCTGGTGTCCAAAAATCATGAGCATCTTAATTAAACATTTTATTGTGTTGGGAATCTCTGTGCCTTTGGTTTTTTTGGCGGTTTTCATGTTAAGGTTCAAATATTTTACATTAAATATTTTAGCTTTGGCCGGAAAAATAAATATATTTAGCCGTTTCTGGAAGTTTAAAAGGACTTAATGTGAATTGAAATAGAAAGGGACAGGATTGGCTGATTGGTTTGGCTCATTCAATGAAAAATAACAGTACAGCCATAATTGAATACCAGTTTATTGTTTCTTTACAGCAGTTCCATCTCACATTTTTATTTGCAATAACACAATAAATCAAATGTTTGCTATCTTTTGAATCGATCTAATGAACAGTGAGCAAAGCTTTTTACATCCAGGACAAAGCCAGGAATGTCTGCATGTTTCTTTGAATAATCCAGACTCCACACCAGCAGCAAATGGGACTTTATGATGATTTCTAGTTTTATTAATGCCTCTAACAGCTTGTGCAAAACAGACAACAGCATGAATGTAAACAATTCCACTTCAGAAACTCAAAGCTGACAGGAAAACTAAATCTATGGTGGCTTTTTAGATCGCTCCACCTGTTCATTTATTAAAGTCTGTAAAATGTTTGTTTAGTTTATATGATTTATTCGTTGGTTGTCAGTAAACTTTGGTTTGGACCGACTGTAGAAGCTTGTTTTAATTTGGATGTAAAAATGCAACGCTGGTTGTTTTTAGGCGCCAGAACTGAATCCTGTTCAGGATAAAATAAAAAATGAAGTTAAAAGGGAGAATTTCATTTCTCTCTTAACTTCTCAAACACTAAAGATGAATCTAAACCAGGATATTGTAAGTCAAAAGCATCAGTTAATGCCCTCTACATTGTATTTATTCATTAGCCAAACAGGTTTCTCCAATAAACAATTTTTGTTTGCATTTGCCGACATAGTCCCAGTCAGAAAATTAATATTTAGTTTTTTCCTCAGGTTTTACATGCACTGCCTGGACCCGGGCTCATAAAAGCTTGTATGGGTTCCCCTTGAGTCTCTTTTGGGTTTTGACTTCATACTAGGATGATTGGTTAAAACTAAATTTTCTACCCAGCATTGTCAGACATTAAACCTAAACACTATGCACATAGGTCCATTTTAATAATCCATGTTTTCCCAATTTGGGTCCCATATTAGAATATCAATTAGGACTATTTCTTACAATTTATTAACTTGTTTAGTTAAGTTCTTGGACAAGAGCATCTCAGGTGGATTGACTAATTAAAAAAGAAGAAAAGAAAAGTTGGTTTGGTGATTTAGCTCACAAGGAAGTTAACTTGAAATCAACCAGCAGCTATAGCAGATTAGCTTTATGCTAAGCTACAGTCAGGGGTTAACCCTAAAAATATCAAACATTTCAAAGCTTTAGGAAATTATTTAATACTGACAAATACTATAGGAACACCTTTATATAGCTGATATCATTTCTATGAATAAAGTTATAGTATTTTCCTTAGAATTATAGTTTTCACTACTGAAATCTGCGGTAAATGCACTTTTCTATCAGCAAAATACAGACAGGATAACTATTTCAGGTTTTAAGAGATTGTTTTGGGCCAAATGTGTTTGAACTCAAAGGAACCAGCAGTCTTTTCAACATTATACAGATAACAAGCAGAGCGAAAACTCAGAAAACAAGCTTAAATTTCCAGTTTTTCCATTTTAGTCATTAAACAGTTAAATAGGTGTTGAAATAGGCTGCAGTAACCCAGTTTAATATAAAGTAGAAAGTAATTAAATTAATGAGATTTAAATGTTGACTTTATTTCAAGTCCAGCCTTTATCGGCTATGAAAGTGCCGAATGTTTAAGTTTAGAATAAAGCCACCAAAAGAGGATATGGCATCAGTTCTGTTTAACGGTGATAAAAACCTGCATATGTGAGGCTCTCGCTAACAGATATTTGAACGTCTTAAAAAACATCCCCCAAGGAGCTTAAAGGATCCTTCATAACGTTTCTGGCCATGAAGTGAAAAAGTGCTTCCTGCAGTGCCGGTTTGAATGCCTCCCGATGAATGCGCGGCTGCTCATGTTGGGGTGGATGCGTACTGCTGCAGTAACCGCGGGTAGCAGGAGGTGCAGACCTTCTCTGGGAGGATGGAGGAAGGCAGCGGCAGCTCGTGGCAGACGCAGCTCTCACAGAACACGTTCAAGCAGTTCCTGCATTGTGTCTAAGAGAGAAAGCAGGAAAAAAAATGGGAACATTTAGAAAAGAATAAAGAAATTCTTGCAGATCTTGATGATTTCTTCTCATTTCCAGTCACTGCAAAACTGATCTTAAAATTACCAAAAACATTTTTTTACAGTGTATTTATCCATAATTTGAGTAGGTAAATAAGGTGATCTACCAATGGAATAAGCAAGTTTAGCCTTAACCCCTAGAACCCTACAGACCCACCGGTGGGTCCAGCTGCTACGTGACCTCGTAATTTTAACAAACCCCCAGTATTGATGTAAAAAACACATTTGGCAAAGTTTGGTGACATTAATGGATAAATGTGCCAAAATGGCCCCTCCGCCTAAGAAATTTCTCACTAATACCATTCTAAAATAAATATGATTCATCTGATTGAGTCCACATTTGGTATATTTCTACACAACATTTAGATTTAAAAGTCTGTACTACTTTTTCGTGCTATAAATAATATTTTGGTAGTGTTTTGCAATGTTTATTTCAAAGAAAATTTTGGCGAGGTTCAAAAAATGCAAAATATTTTGTATTTTGTCCCTAATAGTTCAGGCAGGGTCAAAGCTACAATGGTGCTGACACCAGAAAACCATTCTATGACATCTTACCTTTACAGACGTACCAAAAGTTTCTTCTTAAATCTAATAGCTGTGAGGCTATAAGTTATTTACTTTTGTGTGTTTTTGTCAGGCAGAAATTTATTTATACCCCCTTAGGGTGTAAGAGGTTATTATAAGATACAGTAATTAGATATTGTACGGTTGAAATTAGACCATTTCTTTTTTTCATATTTTAAATGTAAATCATCTTATTCCATTGGCAAAATGCCTGACTTACCTGCTCAATTTAAGAAAAAAAAGCATTTAATTTAAGAAAAAATTACTTAGATTATTATTTTTGCAGCGACTACTTTTATTTTTTTTTTTTATACATTCTTCTGTTTAATTCTGATCATTCACTACAGTTTGTACCTTTGTCCTCAGGAGGGAGTCATCCTCTTTACACAGGATACAGACGTACGGCTCAGTGTTGGGCTGAGTGTTCTCTGGACGTGTCACTTCCTGCATTTAAATCAGAAATGTTTTCTTTGAAGATATCCTGTTAGAAAAAATAACTACGCCTCTGGAGATTTTATAACAACCTCACCTGCTCGTCTTCTGTATGTGACAATGACCTTAAAAAAAAGAGACAATAAAAAAGGTTATTTTATATTTATATACGTTTGTAAACATGTGGACTTACAAACTGGAGCCCAGGCTGGTTTTCTCCTCCTGTTCACTCTGTGATTGCTCCGTCTCCCTATTGGTCGGTATAGATTCTGAAAGAATCTGTTTGGGGGAAAAACACAGCGTCTAAAAACAAAGTTGGGATCTCAGACACCGCCTGCTTAGGGTCTTTATTCTTTCACCCACCTTTGAAGGACTCTCTGGATGTTTGGTCTTCCTTGGAGCAGAAGCAGAAGCTCTGGCGCTGAGATGAAGTTCCCGATTTAGCTCTCGTTCTCTCCTCAGCTCCATCTCAAGAGAAGATCTGAAACAGAAAAACACGACCTAGCTTAAAGCAAAAAAGATTTGTTTCACGTTTACTTTTCATAATAATGTAGAATTTCAAGACTATTTGAGTCCATCTATAAATTTAGTTTGCATAGCTTGAAGGACGCAGCTCAGCTCAGTTTAAACCTTAAAGCCGGGCGTACACTGCGATTTTTTCAATCGTTGCACACAGCTGCTGCTCACACTGTATGACTAAACCGCAGGATTTAGTCGTAGAGTGTGAGCTCAAGGCTCACGATGTATGTGCAGCACAACGCTCTGATGCGATTTACCAGCTCACACTGCACAACTAAAAACCAAGTCGGACTCAGCTCCGCAGTGAGATGAAGCTGCTCTGATTCGTCTATCCGGAAGTCAAACAAATAGAAGGGGGATATTAAGCTCACTAGTGGCAATTTGTGCAATTTAGTGCTAAAAGCTCTAAAAAGAAAAGGCAACAACATATTTGGAAAAAAGACATGGCTGAGCAAACGTGGCTACTACGGTCTGTCAATTTTACAGACAGAACTGTTTTTCACTCAGTGCATCCCTGCCACGCTGCTGTGTTTACAGAAGAATTATAAACCTTGTTTGCGCCCTGAGCGATTCATCCACGACGGTCCTGAGCTCAAGATTCCTGATCGGCTGGTGGTTGTAAGAGGCTGATCGTCCTCGTATCCCTCTGTACACTACACGACTCCCAATCAGGCTGAAAGTCGATCGAAAGATTCTCACATGACTGAAAAATCGCCCCGAAAATCACACAGTGTACACCCAGCTGTAGTTGAGACTTAAGATTTGCCTGGTTCTGCTGGAGATTCATTCCTGTTTAAAGTGAGTTTTTCCTCTCCACTGTCGCTACAAGCATCCTTATTGTGAGGGACTGCATTGGAGTTGTTGAGTCGACGCAATGAACTGTAAAGTTTCTTGAGATGATGTGTTGTGAATTAGCACTATATAATAAAAACTGAAGTTTTCTTGTTAAACAATTCTCCTGATGTGGATGTGCATGTTTAGACCAGTACACTGTAAGAAGCTTAACCCATATTAACAAATATCATTCTAATTAGGGACTCAATAATTCTTTTTAACATTTTCTTTTCCTCTCTACAGAAAGGGAATTATTACAAAAGGTTAGAATACGTTTTAAAAACAAAAGTTGGATTCACATGTCTTGACGTTTTTAGTCGTTTCTCTCATAAATCAATACTAGGCTGAGTCTGAGATTTTAATGAGCTCCTCCATAGATATTTGCAGAACAGAAACAACTGCAACACTTTGATACTTACCTTTGTTTCAGCAGCTGCTCCAACTCCACCTGCAGACTCTCAATTTTGTCTCCAAAGTCCTGCTTGAAGAGCCGGTTGGCTTCTAGAGCCAGATCCCGCTCCCTCTCGGTCTGTTTGCATCTGAATGTGGGGTGATCGGGGTTAAAACAAACTCACGGCGAAACAAAAAAAAATGAGGAGGAGATGCAAACTAAAGCTAAAAATGACAAGAGACTGACATGAAATAGAGAAATAAAAGTCTGAAAAATAAAGGAGGATGAAGCAGGCTGCGTTTTGTTCACCGTTTTATTTCCCCTAATGATTACTACAGTTTACAGCAATGTTATGTTCACACACAGTTCAAAATTAATTCATGTTGCCCTTTCTCCTAATGTTGTCTTGCTCCTGCGCTGAACTTTGACCCTTGCATGCAGCTCATGGAATCACAGCAAACCTGTTGGATAACAAAACTTAACCTCATTCTCCCTCAGGTTCTTAAAAACGACTCCAGAAAAGCCTCTGAGGCAGCAGAACTCTTTGGATAAAATTACAACAAGTCTGCTACCTCCCAAATATCCGATCCTTCCGACCTTTTAGAGCTTATGTCTTTTACTGGATTTAGGTTATGGATCGAACGGGGATTAACGTGGAGCTTTGATGAAGTCAGACGCTGCGAACGCGTCTGCTGGAGAACTCGACTGTGACGGGAGCTAAGAGGGTCGGTTCAGTCCACAATGAAAGCTGGAGAACCACTGCAGGAAAGATGGGGGGGGGTTTAAATCGTCAACAACAAACAAACGTCGTACAGAAAAAGGTAACATCCTAGTTTGGTTATGTCTATATTAGGCAGGGCTGCATGTTTGCACGCATGTTTCAGGGAGAGTTGAGCTACTGCTGCTGCTGCAGGATCTTTCCTGCCGTGGCGCTCAGGGATCTGGCCTGCTTCACCAAACCTTTATCGCTGAGCGAGGAAATAAAAGCAGCAAGAAATGGGTTTAAAAAAAAGAAAAAGAAGTAAAATCAACACGATGGAGATGGAGAGAGAAAGAAGCGAGAGGCTTGAGTAGGTAAATGACTGAGGAGAAACACATCCTGCTGTAAATGTCCAAATTCTCCTCACCTGTTCTCCAGCTGCTTTATGGTTCCAGACATCTGGTTGATTTTCTCCTCCAGCCGAGTGATGGCTTCACTCTTCTGTTTTGAGCTGGCGTCTGCACTCTGAGGAAGAACCCACAGTCAGATCAGCTCCTTCTCTGATAACTCTGTCATTTTAGGACTGATTTTCTAAAGGCAAAGCTTTTCATTTGGCTCGAACTAAACAATCTAGCATGACAACCATGACTACTGTTTTTTTAAACCTCAACAGCTCAAATATAAACTGCTATCTTATATTTCCTATCCACCAACAGATGCCTTGGTGAGAAATAAGTATTTTTCACTTTAGCAGTGGTCACGAAATTATGCTTTTGTATGTGAAAATAAACAATAATGGACATTATTGAAACATAGATTGGACTTCCATTGATCAGATAAAGATAAAATGGTGTTCAGATTTGAGCTGCAGGTTTTTATAATATTTGGCCGGTTGGCAGCACAACCTGTGACTTGTGGCTGAGCTGTTGGTTAATGGCACGAAGGTCTTCCAGCTGCTGTCGGAGCTCCACCAGAGCGTCCTGCTTCTCACAGATGTCCTTCTCCAGCATCTTCATGGACAGCTCCATCTCCTGCTTCATCCCGATCTGCACCTCCAGCTCTCGCTCCACGTCCTGCATAAGGATCCGCTTTGACTTAACTTGCACAGACCTTTACCAATTTATGAGCTTTTAAATACAATTTTTAGCATTCTAGTGCCAACAGAAAGTACAAGTTGAAAAAAAAATAAAAAAAAAATTATATACACATATACACACACATACACACACACACATACACATATACATATATATATATACATATATATATATATATATACATATATATATACATATATATATACATATATACATATATATATACATATATACATATATATATACATATATACATATATATATACATATATACATATATATATACATATATACATATATATTTACATATATACATATATATATACATATATACATATATATATATACATATATACATATATATATACATATATACATATATATATATACATATATATATATATACATATATATATATACATATATATATATATACATATATATATACATATATATATATACATATATATATACATATATATATATACATATATATATATATATATATATATATATATATATATATACATATATATATATACATATATATATATACATATATATATATATACATATATATATATATATATATATGTGTGTATATATATATATATATATGTATATATATATATATATATATATATATATATATATATATATACATATATATATATATATATATACACATATATATATATATATATATATATATAAAATTTCTGGGGGAGAAAAAGAAACGCACCAGTCGAAGCTGAGTTTCCTCTTTGAGCTGCTTCCGGGTTTCACCCAGCACTCCGTCCGCTGTTGATAACTATTTCAGAATCAAAATAAAAATAAATTCAGATAAAAAAAGGCCTTTTTATTACTTGGAAATGTTGCAAAACGATCCTATACAAGCTTTTAAAGACAAAACATGTTTTAATGGAATAAATAATAATCTTCAGAGGCTTCAGGCAGCCAGGGTTTCTTTAAAGGTCTTATTTAATTAAAAAACAAAGACTTCACTTGGTGGTGCTACAAAGTTAGTGATAACTCTATAAATCCAGGTTTTCTGGTTTTGTACACGTGAATTCATAAATCTGGAATCTGAGAAGCAAACGGAGCGAAAAAAACTAAAGGAGAGTTGGTTACTGGAGGTGGAGTCCTGCACAGGTCTGATTTTTATAAAAACTGTATCCACCTGCACCCGTAGAGTTCAGAACCGAGACCCGGCCCCTTACTCACAATTATCCCCAATTAAAACCTGGACGGGACCTTACAGACCTGTAAATAAAGTGCAACCCAACCCGTAATCACAAAGTGTACAGACAGCCGTTAATAATAACAAGACAGAAAAGATCATTGCCTCATGCTCACATCTAGTGCGCGCTGTGCTCACAGATAAACAGCTGTAAAGTAAGAAGGATTGCCTCGTTGCTGTATCTGGACATTTCTGAATCCATTTTTTTTTTATGTAGAGTTAATAAATAAGAAAACATAAATATGTTTCATTCATATTTTTCTAGTCATAGATTTACATTTTATACAGGACTCTGACTATAGAAGCAAGTTCATGAGGATCAGAGCTGCTTCATTAAAGCCGAAAAAACACCTTAAAGAGTCTTTATCTAGTTGTAATATTGCACCTTAGTTACTTGTTAATTACTATTACGAAAAGTATGAGCCTTCATTGAACAAATAGAAAGATAAAATCAAATGTTCTTTGCAGTTTTTGATATAAAAGCTAAAATTATTCAGTATGCTGATGAAGGTTCTCAGTCATCCAGGTCACAGTCATTCCGTAAAAATTCAAAAAAAATCCAGTGGACCCAGTGGATATTTTTTGAATTTTTACGGAAAAATGATTCAGTCTGCAGGATGAGCCGCTTTAAATGTCTGACTTTCTTTTTTTTTTGTACACTAAAAAATTTCCCATTAAAAGTGGAGCAACTGGCCCCAAAAAGGTCAACCAGGTCATAGATATCAACATCCAGAAACAATAGAGGGCAAAAAGTCTATAAATGTGAGGGAAAACAATTTACTGTCCACTCTATAAAAATCTAACAATGATAGGACAGCGTCAAAAAGTAAGTTTTAGTTAAAGGGAATCAGGCTGACTAACGAAACAGACTAATTTCTCTAAACTTTATCATGTAAATCGACCATTAAGTGTAGCCAAAAAAATTTAAACATAATATATATATATATGTGTAAATATATCTCATCAGGGTTACAGCATGGCTGCTTGGCTCTCATCTGATCTTTAATTAACTGAACCTGATTCAAAGGAAGTGCTGGTCTGATGTCCTTAGACTAAAGACAAAGCATAAGTTTGTTGTTTAAATGGTTTCATGAAAGAGTTTTAAAAGTTTGTGTAAAATCCAACCCAGTGCTCCTGGGGCATCACCAGATTTATGAGACAAAGCTTTGTTCACCTTCCTGGACTCCAGCTGATATGAGCTCTCTTCTTTAACCCTCTCCACATCTTCTTGTAAAGTGATGATCCTGTTGTTTGCCACTGCGAGCTGTGAAAATAAATAAAAGGGACATCTCTGTAGAAAAAAAAAAGAGCATCTGTTTTGTTTTTTTTTCACTGAGGAACCAGAACTCACCTCCTCTGTCAGCTTCGTGTTGGATTTTTCAAGGGCATCCACTTTGGCCTGGAGGTTATTTACTGACGCGCTGCAGACAAACAAACAAAAACAGAGAAATTTATGAGTCACAGAGCTTGATTAGGAGGAGAGGGAGAGAAAGAGATCATCCAGACTAACCTCAAGTGTCTGTTTAGTTCCTCCACATAATTCTTCTGATCGAGGATTGCAGTGATCTGACCGTCACTGGGAAAGAGCAGAATAAAGGAGTTAATAGTAAACCAAACAAATAATCCAGAGAAACTTTTTAACTGATGTAAAGATGCAAAACTATTCAGATATGGCTGGATCATAACTAGCATCAAAAATTCTGCACTATCCCTTTAAGACAGCAAGAACAGGTTAAATACTTGGTTAATTTTTTAATAGTTTTTAAAACTTAAATTGAAGATTAAAAGATTATTTATAAAGAAGATTTTTAAAGATCAAAGTGTCGTACACATATCAATAAAACAAACACAAAATGAAACGCTTGCAACCCTTTCCTGTGTTTTAAAATGCATTGGAATCCAAATTTGTATCATCAATCCACCAGAAAATGACAATATAACATCAACAGAGATAGAATCGAGTATTTTATTAAAGGTTATTGCACAAGGAGAGCCATTAGACTGATTCACTCACCCCTCTGCACTCTTGCTGCTGTGTCCTCCATCTTTTAGGTACATTGAAAAGTCTATGACGCCGACCTGCACATGTGAAGCCAAAGGTACAGTTTAGATCCAGAAGTGGAAAAAAATAACAGTCAACTAATCCTTACAAGTATCTCGTCTCTTTGAAGACGGGTCGTTATGTTGGTAGCTAAATATTCACCTAAACATTATTGGTTCCTATGAAAAGTTACAGCTTTTATAGATTTTAAATGTTACATTTTAAATCGTCTTTAAAACAATCTAATTAGACCATCTCACCCCTGGTTTTCATGCTCGTCTCAGTCTAAAGTGGCTTAATTTCTAAATAATAATAAAAAGAATCATTAAAAATGCTTTTTCTGGAGCTATTATTATATTATTATTATAAGTGTGTAGGCCAGCAGAGTTTAAAAGCCAGTTGGCCGAGGGAATAAAGGTTTTTATATTTCAATCTGGAGATTATGGAAAGTATTCCTGACTCCTTAAAAAGCGGAATTAAACCAGCCTTGAAATGCATTTTAACAGAAACCAAAGGCTGACATTAGTGTGCAGGGGTAACACTAACAGCATCAAACTAACAACAGAAAACCAAACCTACAGGGAGAAAAAAGGATATGTGAAAGTTAATGAGAATTTAAGCAGCCAGCAGTGACCCAACATAGCAGGATGTTTGTGCTTGTAGAGGTTTCACTTCACTGTAGTAATAAACTTCTTTAGAAGGTTTAAATCTCTTTCAGTCGTCTTACGTCAATTAGGCGTCAGATATGAAAAGTTACACCAGATGATGAGATCATCAGCAGCTGTAGGGTCTAAACTACAGTTAGGATGATGAGTATAAAACTTTTCTGTTTTAGAAGCTCCATAAAAAAAAACAAAAATCTCCTTCACTCAGAAATGGAAAAAAAAATGTAAGTAAATCTCTCTTGCGTTTAAGCAGCCATAAGGTAAAGTGGAAGTGAGAGCAAATCGACCTGCGAGTCTAAGTCCTCCCCCTTCATGCATAGATTGGCGTCGATGACGTTCAGCCCAACAAGCAGCCCTGCGATGACGGCGCCCTCCTCCTCCATCATCAGAGCATTGGGCTCGTAAAACTCACTGCAGGAGAGAAAACAGCACTTTCATATCATAAAGGGTTTTACATTCGTGTTTTAGGCCAGTAGGCAAAAATACTCAAACAGCATCTACAAAAAAACTTGCGTGTGCTCTAAATTAAGCAGATGAGGACATAATAAGGAACATGTAGGCAAAAGGTACAAGTATTGTTAAAAAAATAAATAAAAATTCCTCAGCAGGGCTTATAAGGAGAAAAACAAAAAGTTTTTCAAAAAGCCTGAAGAACAAATGATCAAGAACACTTAAACAATTAGAGGAAATTCTGGCTCTTCTGGCTGAATAAACAATAATTAAATCCCTGTAACTGTATCCCCTGGTGGGCTCAGTACAAACATACCCGAGCAGGTCCTTCCTGTTAATGATGGTCTTCATGTAGTCTGAGAGCTTCTTCTGCATCAAAGCCAGACGTAACCAGGCTCGTCCTCTTCCTAAAGGAGTTCTGGTGTAAAACACACAGATAGGAGTGGATTTCAAGCCTACATTTAACAGGAAACACCAGTGTCCTAATGGAACCATCTCTAAGGACCCACCTTAACCCGGGCAGGTCTTTCACACTGGCAGTAATCTCTCCAGCCTCAGGGGTCAGCTTCTCCACCAGCTCCAACGGCCCCCAGAACGACTTGTTCTGTCCCAAGAAGGTCTTCTTACCTGATTATTAAAGGGAATAGTTATGATCACTTAGAAAATGACTGCAGTTCCTTTCTGCAATCTATACCCTCCTTTTTTAAATTATTATTGAAGGGAACCAAACCAGCTTCAGTGAACAAGGCTGTAATCCTTTTTTTTTTAAACCTCTTTATTTCAGGTAGTCACTACAGGTCAATAAAAGGCGACCCGACTAGAATATTCTGATTAAACATTTACCAAAACTACCTCAGGCATTCCTCTAAATGTTAAGTTCTATGAGGTTAATTCAAAAAACATTACCAAATCATAAAGACAGGGGGAAAGGGTCACAATGCGCACAATGCGCTGCAGTTGGTATCCGCCAGGGACAGATACCAACTGCAGCGCATTGTGCGCTCCGCTGAGAAGGTGATCGGCTGTAAGCTGCCATCACTCCAGGACCTGAATGTCTCCAGGACCAGGAGGCGTGCAAGTCGCATCACAGCCGACCCTTCTCACCCTGGACACACTGTTTAAACCTCTCCCCTCAGGGAGGAGGCTACGGTCCATACAGACCAGAACCTCCCGCCATAAAAACAGCTTCTTCCCCTCTGCCATAAGACCCATGAACACTATATGTCAGACTCCATAACCTGCACATGCCATTTACACTGCTGTATTGCACACTGCTCTATTTGCACTACCTTGTACATTTTACTTTTTATATATATTTTTTTTTATTTATCCATATTTTTATCCTAAGTGTATATATTAGTATATTTTTTGCATGCCTTATACCCCAGTGTTTTTAGAGATTTTTATCATTTTATTTACCTATTTCATATTATACGTTTCATGTTGCACGATTGTACCATAAAAAATTCCTAGTTGTGAACTCCTTCACTAACAATGGCAATAAACCCGATTCTGATTCTGATTCTTATACATTATTATAATGATAATACATACTTTTTAATCCATGTTTAAGACAGTGCTCCATGACAACAAAGAACTGCTGGAGGGGTGCGTAGTCCGAGTCAAGCGTGCGTCCAAGATTCAGCGCCGACTCGATCAGGCCCTTGATGCTAAGTTTGGCCATGTTCATCAAGTTAAGCCTTTCAATGGCAATCGGGTCTTTGGGATCTGAAAAGGAGAAAGACTAAACATTAACAATTGCTGTTTGGTAGGGCTGGAAGGGTAACTGCATTTGCAGCATTGATATTTTAAAAATGGTAGTTACCATGTTAGGCAACATCTAAGTAGAGCAAGACTTGTTTCTTACTCCTGCATGTCAGATGACAGTAACACCCTTAAAGTGGGTTTGCTGCCATACAGAGGGGTGGAGAATTGCAGCTAGCACACATTTCTAAGTATGCCGGTCAGAAGTTAGCACTGGTTAACACAAGAATGAAGTCTTGTGACAATGGTCTCTGGACAATACAGCATTCAAGGCCACAAAAACCATGAAACCCTGCAGCCACAGGGGGGCGCTTCATTGTTTCTGGTAATTATTTGGTTTTGAAAGGGGGAGTGTGTGCTGTCTCTAGTGAGATTACCCTAAAAGTTGGGAATTTTACCCTTAAATTATCACCATTAAAACTGTTCAATACATGGAACTGTTTCTCTAGATACACTCTGCAATTAGTGTACAACAAGGACTGATGTTAAACTAAAAAAAATATGATCCTGAATAAAGATATAAAAACAAAAATACATTTGGTAAATTTCTTGTTTTATTAGGACCTTGTCCACAAACATACATTTATATCGAATATTTGTTGCTTTTGGTTAGTGCAGAGGAAAAGCAAACGAAAATGACATTTGCAATTCTGGTTAAAAAAAAAAAAAAAATAATAATAAAAATGAAAAAAATAATCAAAACTGTTGTGATGAATTTAACAGCCCTATTGTTAAGTAATGCCAAAGGATTCAGCATTTGTAATGGTTCCAACTACATGCTTAGATCATCACACGAATCACATCCTTTCCTGAAGTGCCAGAAAACAAGCTTTCCAAAGCCCAAAAAACATTGTGACTAAGAAATATACGTCCTTAATTTTTACTTCCTTGATAAATCTTCATCAGGTTCCTCATCGATGAAAAGAATGCAGTTCATCAATTTTTTGTACAAACATTCCATTCTTAAGATGTCAGACACATCAACCTACCTCTGATCAAAACCCTTTTTATTTTTCCTCAGATACACGTCAACATCTCAGTGCAGAAATAGCTCTTCCAATGGAAAACAGGGATAATAGAAAATTGGTTGAAATTAAGAGCTATGACTATCAAACGTAACATTCAGGATATTTAACCAACTACAGCAGGTTTTAGAGGCGACTGTGATACAGTTTAGGAAAACTGTTTTTATAGTCTAGCTACATTTTTTTATTGTGTATCTTAGAACAGAAATATAAAGAAACATCAATGCCTAATTTCTTTATAGAAAACATCTATAAACTGAACATATCTAAGAATATGGTGGCTGGAAAACCAGAAACAAAGACAGGGCTATGTTTGAATACCTACTTTTTATTTTATGGTCTTTTACACTGTTTTCAGGGATTATTAATTAAATCTACTTGTTCCTCTTCTTCCTACACTGATGCCTTAAACAACTTTCCTATGGGAGAAAGAGACCGAAAGCTGTTTTGCTTAAATCTCATATTCATAACCGGAAATTTAAACAAAATATCATAAAAAAAAAAAAAAATTATATATATATATATATATATATATATATATATATATATATATATATATATATATATATAAAGAAATCATTAACAAATCCATCCATCCATTTTCTGTCACGCTTATCTGAATCAGGGTTGCGAGGGGTGCTGGTCCCAATATCCAGCTGCCTATGGGCGAGAGGCAGGGTACACCCTGGACAGGTTGCCAGTCCATCGCAGGAGAACACAGAGACAAACAGGACAAACAACCATTCACACACACTCACACCTAAGTAGAATTTAGAGAAGCCAATTAACCTAAAAGTCATGTTTTTGGACTTTAGGAGGAAGCAGGAGTACCCGGAGAGAACCCACGCATGCACAGGGAGAACATGCTGCAAACTCCGTGCAGAAAGAGGAATCAAAACTGGGTCTTCTCGCTGCCTGGCGGCAGTGCTACCCACTGTTCCACTTAGCAGAGTGTTTTACAGATAGCATGAAGTGTGAATTGATTATTACATTAAAATATGTTAGCAAAAATTACAGAAAAATATGTTAGCAAAAAGAAATACAGACATTTAACAGTTTCCAGTCTGAAAAGGATGCATGGATCAAAAAGCAAGTTGTCTCATGCGCAGCAGCTAGAAGCTGAGTCTCCTTAGAGCTACAGCTGCAAGATGTTCAACAGCTTCAAATAAAAAAATGTTTTACACTCCAATCCAAGAGCCAAAGTCCTGCAGCTTCTATTCTGTGTCCCATTTGCCTTTAGGATTCAGAACTGGAAAGTTGGAGCGACATAAACTCTGAGGTGATGGTGTTCACATTTCCCCACCTGTGCCATTTTATGATGCACAGGGATGGCATGGATCCACCAGGTCGTGTTATTCACAACCAAGACCATTTCTGCACATATATATCCAAAAGTAATGCTCTAATCAGCCCTAGAGCCATAATCATCATGAGCCATGAAATCTTGGGTGATCCCTGGAAATGAGTTTCTTCCTGATTCCCATTTGGGAGGTCTTCCAGCAGCGCCAGTACATCCATCACCCACCTTTACACTTTACTTTTACCTCATACAAGTATCTCAACATTTAAAGCATTTAGAGGAAGGAGTTACAGGAATGTGATGATGAGGAAACTTATTTATAGGACATGTCTGCATGTGTAGATATAGCTCTCTAACTCAAGCCTGCATGTATATCTTTCTCACAGTTTTCTTTCCTTCTAATGTCTGAAATTCTGACCTCTGAGTGCTTTGCAGGCAGCAATAGATGCATCCTTGCTTCAGCATTACTGATTAACCCCATTAGCAGAGCTCTGTGGTGGAAATCCACCAAATTCTTATTTCTAACGTTGATTATTTTGGCATCAGTCAAACCGATCTGGGCTGACGATTTTCTAGGACACATTTTTAAGCCGTTAATTTTCTTCTTCCATTTATATGATACAGTAATAAATGTAACACAAACTGCAATAAAAAAACAAACAAAAAAAACTAAACAATGTCCAATAAGTCAAAGTAGCAGCAATCTATGAAGTCTGTTTAATGTCAGGGCGTGGATGTTGACTGCACGTATAAATCAGGAAATGCATGCACGTATGCATTGGCTGCGTATGCGACCGATTCAAGAAAAATAACACTAATATTAGCACTAAAATATTGGCCACATAATGGATCAGTCTACCTCTGGTCTGTGGAGCTGGACAGCATCAGCCATCCTGATCATTGGTGCAGAGCGAAAGAGAGATCTTAGAGTTGCAGAACACCAACTATATAACCACAGAAGATCTCAGCTGTACAGATAAGTCTCAAATGATCACTTTTTTTTAGCATGGCGCTCACAAAACCAGAACTTGTACAAAAAGTCTCATGTGTTTGCTAGCAATGAAGATTTTATGCCTTAAAATCATCAGATCTGATACTAGAAGTCCCTTTAATTCTGTACGCTCAAATAAATTGTAAAGTGCAACCTGCTTAAATCTGTGTCAATTTGTAATAATAATGATTTAGTTACCAAGATCGAATCTTTTAGCTCAAACTATAATGTTAATGTGAACAGCTGCTCACAAAGCCACCTACTAAACAGTCCCCATTAAGATCAAAGCATGATTTATTGTTATTGATACGTTTGCCCTCGATTGGGTTCTGAACAGGACAGGTAGGTTAAAAAAACGGCTAAATCAGGTGTTTATCAGCATCAGAAGCATTTAGGTCTGATATATTTGACAACAATTAACACACGTTAGTTTATATAAATTGCATTTTAAATTTGGGAAGGAAATAACTGGATCAAGTTTTCCTGTAAATATAGAATAATCTCCTTTAGGGGTTCACTGATTGATTGGCTTTGATTTGTTTAATTATGGAAGATCAGCAACCAGCCGATACTTGGATGCAAAACTGATATTATTGACCTCTGCAAAGGTTTAAAAGAGAAAAAAAAGAATCAGCCATTGACAAAGATACATACTTTGATTTACCTTTGAAAAATTATAATTTGTGTCATGGGAACAGATTAAATGACTTTCATAATATTTCATATTGTGATTTTATAGCAACTGACGGTGTTAGTTATAAATAAGTCAATAAAAATCAGAATTGGTCAAAATCGGAATCGGCATGTCAGGCTTTTTAAAGAAACCTGCAATCAGAGCTGTTCAACTTTCCTTAGATTTTAATTGGACCCAAAATGCCTTCCTCCATCAGGAGGTTGTTGAATGCATTATCACCGCAGAGAGAATAATCAGTCAATAAAAATCTGAATCAACACTGATCGAAACAAAAAAAAAAAAAAGCTATTGGTCTTTAGAGGCCTGATCTTGTAGACAAATGTTTTATGCAGCAGTTGAAGATTATGCTTTGTTTTGGAGTTTTGGAATAGATCAGATGATAGAGCCGCTAAGCCTTTGATAATTATGTTTATCATCAGGTGGGAGGTTTTTATATTTAATGTTTTTTTTCATCATATCTGCATTTAAAATCGTCTCTCTGGGTGTTAAAGCCTAGGGGCCTTTGAGCTGTGATGCCCAGGGGCCCTCAGAGGCGTTAATCCTGCTGTTTTCATTTGAGGGATAATGATGTTTAACATCTAAAGCTGCACTTCCTGGTTGCTAGTCCCTGGCTTATTTACAGGTGGCGTCATCTTGCTGTGTAATGCTCAGGAAGCCCATGATGACACAGCTCACACAGGAACTCTGAGAAGTGCTTGAAAGACACAGCATCTCTTTGTGGAACACCACGCCCTGATGGAAATCATTACACAGCCCCCCCGTCCATCTCTTTACCTTCATGGGCCGGCTCAGGGTCCGGAGTGAGCGAGATGTCGTTGAGCTCCCGGAGGCAAAGCCACTCGCCGTCGACAGAAACGCGAAAGTTGCAGAGATAGATTGTTTCCCGAGCGGCCTGGGTGATTTTGTCTGTAGTGGGAGTCGGGGTCTCGCTCTGAGGCGTCAGATCAGACATGATGACTCAGCTTTCGAAAGGAAAAAGATCAACAGCAGAGATGGAAAACTGAAAGAAAAAAAACAAAACAGCGTAGCAGCCTTTGTTCCAGGTGCCAGAGATGGTGGAGGAAAACAACCGGGCGGCTCAGACAGAATGAAGGAAATAATCACCAGAGAGGAGACAGAAAAAAACCCCAAACCCAGACAAGGATGGCTGGTTTAAGCAGGTGTCGGGGGAGTGCTGCTCCTCTTCCTCTTCACGTCTGCATCCTCTTCTCCTCCTCAACACAATTGACTGAATTAAGCTGCTGTCTTGAGAGGGGCCTCCCCTCTCCCCCTGCTCTTTAGCCTCTTGCTTTCCCTTTTGTGCAAAGCAGCAGTTTAAAATGCAACAGAGCACGGTGTTGTGAGAAAAAACACCATTAAAAATAAAAAAAATCCCAGCCCTCCTCCAGTCAGCCCAGCACCAGTTGGCTCTGATTGGGCTGCCTGTGCACCGCAGTGAATCCACTAGGTGGGTGTCGACCAAGATGGCTGACAGCAGTGCAGGACACGGCGACACACTCGTCACGTGAGCAGATGGTGCATGCGTACAGAAAGAGAGGAGGTGTTGGCGGAGAAGGATGAGAGGAGGAGGGGGGTCCTCTGGTGTAACAAAGCAATGCTAATGATTCAGCCGGCCATTAGCAGCATCCCTCTGAGCTGAAACAGACGCTTCTTATCTGACAACTCAATTACACAACCTGCTGCAACAGGAGGCAGCGCGGTTAATGAGGGCAAAGGTCACGGAGCGGAGATGCAGGTTCAATTAATGGATTATTACCGGAAGGACACATTTAAGAAGAGCTCAACATAGACTAGAAGCAACTGACAGCTTTAAAAAAATGACAGTACAGCATCCAGGAAGTATTCACAGCGCTGCCCTAATTTAGATTAGTTACAGCCTTATTCCAAATGTTATTAAATTATTTAAGTCCCTTTAAGATACTACACACAATCACCTGGTAGGATATTATAGAAAATGTGTTTTTGCAAATCTCTGACAATCAGAAAAATAAGAAATTGCATTTACAGAAGTGTGGATACTTAGGCTACATTCACATTGCAGGCCTTGATGCTCAATTCAGATTTTTTGTGTGAAATATGATTTTTTTTTATGTTGCAGTTCACATTACCAAATATATGTAACTTGTCTGTTATCTCCTGTGTGAACTGCAGTCATGCAACGCAAGTGTCCCACATCTGCAGTAGAGGATGTGGGACATCGTGTTTACGGAAGTAAACATGGATGGTAGTGAGGGAGAGCATCTAGAGATCTTTCCATACCATAAAAACACAAATCTTTTCAGGCTGGTTAAACATAAATACTACTCTCCGCATCATCAACCATGGTGGTTGTTTTTCTTGCCATTTCTTCATAGCAAGAACCAGAATAGCTACCTCTGTCAGGTATTAATGCCGTTCAGGTCAGATGAATGCGACCTGGCTGTTCACACACAGGTCGCATTTGAAAAGATCAGATTTGTATCGTATTCAGGACCACATAGCCAAGTTGTCAGGAAAAAAATCGGATCTGTGTTGTTCAGACTGCCATGAAAAAATTCAGATACAGGTCGCATATGAACAAAAAATAAAATCAGATTTGGGTCACATCAGGCTGCAGTGTGAACGTAGCCTTAGTTGACCATAGACGCAATTTTTTTTGGGGGGGGGGGGGGGGGGGGGGGGGGGGGGAGACATGTCCCCTGCCCTGTTTTAAACATGCGTTTTGGTCCCCATGTGCGTTTTGCCGTCCAAAAACAATGTTACATTACAGTACACAGGCATTCATCAAGCACTAAGACCAAGCGGAAAACCGCAGCACAAGCTAAAGCCCGCTTCTTTAAGTTTAGACCCGCCCACAAGCTCCTGATTGGCCCATCATCTTTTCTTGTACGATTGCCTGTCAAACACGCTAAAGTTAGTCATAACTTCTGAAATAGTTGTTCCACGTTTAGCAGCAGCTAAAGCCTCCAGTCTTTGTGAATCTGAGCTGATAGCTCACCATCTTCAGCCAATTTGATCCATTCTTCTTTGCAGAACATCTCAAGCTCTATCTGGTTGGATGGGAGACGTCTGTGTACTTTCAATGGGATTCAAGTCTGCCCGCTGCTTAGGCAAAACCTCCTCTTGGACCTGCTCCTCTCGGATCTCGGCTGTGTGCTTTGGTTCGCTGCCTTATTCTGAGGTCTGGAGCATCTTTTCATCCAGTACCACTCTGTACATTACAGCGTTCATTTCCCTCCACCCTGAGCTAATCCGAAAGTTCCTGCTGCCATAAAACATTCCCACAGCATGATTCTGCCACCACCATGCTTTAAAACATCAGCCTGGTGGTGAGTGATGCCTGAGTGCCTTTAAAAATAACTCATAGCATTTAACACCAGAAGGGTCAATCTCTGTCTCATCAGACCAGAGAATTTGGTTTCTCATGTTCTTTTTATTAAGAAGGGGATTACATCTGATCTGGTTGGTGATTGGTGGTTTGCTGCAGAGACGGTTATCCTGCTGGAAAGTTCTCCTCCCTCTACAGAGGAACGCTGGTGCTCTAAGATTGACACAGCGGGAGCGGATGCTGTGTGAAAATGGAATCAAAGCACCGCAACTCAGTTCAGCTTCAAGGCAAAGGCTGTGAATATTTATGGAAATGTGATTAATTGCTTTTATACTTCAAAGAAATCCACAGCAATCTTTAAAAAAATAAAAAAAATAAAAAAATTCTTTACATGGTCATAATTGGGAGCTGTGTACAGAATTTTGAGGAAAAACCTATTTCAACCATAAGTGCTAGTTTTAACAAAACTAAATGTAGAAAAAGCACAAAACTTTGAATACTTTGCGGATGGACCATCAACTCAATGACACGAAATCAAACAGTTATTATTAGATGCTATTTAATAAACTCTTTCTTTATAAAAGCTTAATATAAAGAAGAAAAAAAATCACAATCCAAGTTGTATGTTTTAGTGCCACGTTAAACAGCAAGAACTACTTAATGTCATTCAGATATCTGCCTCCATTATTAAAATTATATAGAGCTTGGGGCTGCAACTAATGATTATTTTGCAAATTGATTAATCTCTGGATTATTTATCAGATTAATTGATTAATACTTGGATAGCAAAAGTTACTTAAAGAAACCTTTTACTAAATTAAACCAGGTGAAACTATAACTTTTACACTTGAGTTCTGGATAGAGCATGTGGACAGACAAAAACGTTTTTTATCTTAAATGCAAAAACTTTTTTAACACAATTTTGGTGTAATCACTGCTTTAAGTGGGTCGCTCTGTCAGCTAAAGGTTTGTTTTAGAGTCTCTATATTCCAGTTAACAATTATTCGATGACTAAATTAGTTGATGATTATTTTAATAACTGATTAATCACGATTACTCCAATTGTTTCATCCCTAACAGAGTTGAATAACAAAATAAACTTATTCTAATGATTTGGCAAGTTTAGGGTCTTTGTTTGAAATTTAACTCTGTCTGAACAGTTAAAACTCTACAGATAAAATCCACTTTAATTGAGAATGAAAAAGCTCTGTAGTGAAAAACTTAAGCCAAAACCCTGAAGATCAGCTCCTGCAAGTTATAGGCCATGATTCTCCACTGGAAAAAAGGCGGCATGTCCTGTTCAGATCGGAGGAGAGTTCCTGCCTCAGTTTGAGGAATTAAGTTATTATCTTTGGGGTCCTGTTCACAGGCGATAACAGAGTAAAGCAGGAGATCGACAGACAGATGCTGGCAAAAGGCGAAGCTGGTCTACGTTCATTCCCTCACCTTCCATCCTCCAGCTGTCAATGGCCGGGAGGCGGGGTCATTCCCTCACCTATTCTCATGAAATCTTAGTCATGACTAAAAACTAAATCCTGGATCCAAATGGCCGGCTTCTCTTAAGGAATCGATTACATCTCCAACTCTTTGATAAAATCCCATTCCCTTTTCAAAGGCTGCCTGAATGTCACATCTGTTTTGCATTGCATTAACAAACAGAAACCTCCCTATCATAAATCAGATGTAAAAAGTCCTCTTTTTTCATAGTGTTTTGCTTTAGACGCATTCTGCTCTGCTTTTTAAAGCCCTTACAACTAGCAGTGTGAAACAATCCAGACCTACTGGTGTAGCTAAGTAACAATGTTAAAATACTGCAGAGAAGATCAGCTCATCCTTCCTTCAAAGCATTTGTATACCTATTATGGATATGTTAAGCTCATTTATAATTTATTAATTACCTCTAACATGGAAAGCGGTTTAATTCACTTCCAAAAAGTTAAGAAAACATCAAAGTCTAGCTGAAATCACCAAGAAACTTTTGGTAGGAAGGTTTTAGAATGATGCTACCTGGGTTTTTACCAGAGGCGTAGCCAGAAAATCCTAATAGGGGCGGCCAGTCAATAACCAATGTACATTGAGGGATGGCCGAAAGGCACCAGAACCTCAGGGTCAATCTACACTGCTCCAACAGGAACACGCACAAAATCCATATTTTCTAAATAAAGACAAACTATACTTTCCTGCTAGCCTGGGTGCCATTCCGAACTTAGTCCCGCCCACAACGTTTGAGGTCGGGAAGTTCGGTCTTGCTCAGTAGTAGCGCGAGTATGCTCGCACAATATCTGACGGGCAAATCAAATTGTCAGGGCGGGCTTTATACGAGGATGGACAGATGATCAACAGTAACATAATCAACCACGTGACCAACGCGCGCATGGGTGACAACAACAATGGCTGCCGCTGGAGAGTTCAGGTGTGTAGATTCTGCTATTAGGTCTGTTCTAGAAGATATCAACAGCAAATTAATTTTAAAAGAGGAACAGAGAAACGCGATCAAGTCTCATCTTCTTATTATAGGCGTGCAACTGCACGCTTTGATTTTTGACGACAACAACTGTGCCTGGCTTAACATACGTCACGCACTCCGCTGCTCTTATTGGTTATAGGTCTATCCAATTGAGTGCAGAGGCATTTTTTTTCCTGGTTCGTTCGAAACACGCCCCATAATCACAGCTCCATGGAGCAGTATCAGACTCATATTCTGACTAGAATTGAGTAGGACTACGTCAGGCTACTTTCCTGCAGCCTTTGCTAACAAATAGACGCATATATTTAAATATCTATGCTGTGTAAATAAAAGGTATAGTGAACAAAATTCTGTCAGGTTTGAGTTCCAGGGCAAACATATTTCAATTGTCATTACCTACGTTTATCAATAATCATTCTGCAAAAAAATTATATTTAAGTCTAGTAATATCAATATTTAATGAATTTCTATGTTATTATTAAATTAGTTATTTATCTATGATTTCACTGAAGACTCCTAGATGACTTGCAGAGGCGCATCATTTTATTGTTACTCCAAATAATTAAAAATGTACTTCTGAAAAGAGCGTGAATTCTGGATCTATCATCTTTAATGTTTGTATATTGATGTGCATAATTAACCACAGTGTTTCTGTTGTCAAGAAGTTGTTAATAGATGAAAAATTGTAATGCTTAATA